TGCCTGGCTGGGGTCATCGTATCAGTCATATTGCAAAAGATACAACAAAATATGTCCTCATAAAAATATCTGGCAGTACCCTTGTATATCCAACAACATCTTACTTCTACCCCTGGGGGGGCCTCTAGATATAGCCCTTGTGGCATTATAATATTGAAATCAACACTGAAATATTTCAACACAACCACTCACTTGTAAGAAAAAGATGCATTGATTTGCCATGTCCATTTTGTATTGTTAATTGAACCCCTCTCTCATTTATGTTCTGTAAAGGCAGAGTACTACTGCCAATCTGGCTCCTTGGCAGATCTAATTTAGGAAACACATTTATTCCTCAGTGCTCCAGACTGATGTACTGGAGCCCAGTTTTGTTCCATATGTCTGCAGCTCTTTCTATGTAAGCCATGAACACACATAAACTGGTTATTTTGTTCTCTGACATTACCTAAAAGGACCTTACTCCTATGAGATCATCTTTCTGCACACACATTAACTCTCCTTGTACAGTATTTAATATTTAATTGCTTACAGCACCATCTATGGCATTCATGATTTTTACCTAAGTGGTTTTGTCTGAAGATGATGTTATTCCAAGAGAAAGACACTCTCAGGGCACCAGCTAAGTCTGTTCTGATTAATCACCCAACTTACATTGGGGTTAATAACAGAACCTAATGATGTTATGCAGGTGACTATTGAAATGAAAGAAATGATATTCTGGGAAAATGTGTTCTACACAAGGATTTTAAAAGCAGCATAACATAATTAATTAAGTTTTATAGAGACATTACATTCAATCAGGCCCCTCCTACTCAGTTATGTGAGTCAAAGGCATGCCTCCTTTGGAAGGTTTCTGAGGAACATGCAATTATTCATAAGAACACATCATGTTAAAATAATCATTACAATTTGTACCAAGTTCACCCACTCCTAACTGACTCAGCATCATTTATATTTATGCCCAGTTTACTCATCTAAAAGGATACATCAAATATTGCAATTTCTCCCTCACAGAACTGCAAATCAATCTCACGAAACACATAAAATCTTAATTCTCATTAACTAGAATATGCTTTGATGAAGAAAAACCACAACACGGGAAGTATAGTCGCCACCCCCTCTCCCCTAGATTCGTCTAAAAATGCAAGCACCAACCTATGCTGAACATCCTACCGAGATTTTGTCAGATCCTGGAAGCTAAAGAAAGTCAGGGCAGGGTAACTACTTTGACGGAAAACCAATATTGAATATCAAGGTATGTCTGGGATGATTTAAGATGTCCATAACCTCATTCCAAGAGCCATTTTTCAGTATTCTGTCCTTCTTGGGGAAATAAAGGGTTAAATGGTGATTTATTGTCGGCTAAACAGACTTTGGGGGCTCTCATTACCTGTATGGCTTTGAGAGGGGAGATACTTTTGCCTCTTCAGCCCTCTCATGTGGGGTGGTAAATTTTTCACTTTGGCCTGTTTAGCTTCTTTTCCAGTCAAATAAATTTGGCCACCACTGTAGTAGTAGTAGAAGAAGAGGAGGAGGATCCATACTATATTGGTGAGCATTCTTGAGCCTTCTATGTACCAAAGACTGCTTACCTAGACCTACAGCTTGACCACTCTCTGAAGGGATCTGCAACAGGAAGCAGTGAGGCACTTGTAAACCGCCCAGAGAGTGCTTGAAGCACTATGGGGCAGTATATAAGCAGCACCCTTTTTGCTTTGCTTTACCTAACTATTTGCACTTGCCCAAACTATTTACTAACTCTGAGAGAAAGACTGATGATGTACCTGAAACATTCTTGAAGTGTTAAGGGAATAAAAAAAATAAGGGAAGAAATGGTTGCTTTAATTCAGAGATGGGCAACTGTAGCCTTCCAGGTGTTGTTGTTGGATTGTGACTCCCTTCAATCCTAGCCAACGCAGACAGTGGTGACAGATATACCAGAATTCTGGTCCAACAACCCACTCCTGCTTGAGCTCATCTATCAGCCAAAGCTAGGGCCATGTTTGTCTGATGAAGGTTGGTAGCAATGTGCCTCAAAGTTTCTCTCCCACTGTGTGGGAGCCTCTCTCCATCTGCACGGGGGTGGGCTGGGCTTGATTTGAAATGGGAAGCAAACAAGCCAACTGCCTGCTGTCCCTGAACCCAATTTTAGCAGATAATTTTAATCTTTTTTATCTTTTCATGTTTTAATCTTTTAATTGTATTTTAAACCATATATTATTTAATTTAACTTTTAATATTTAACTTATTGTGTTTTTAAATTGTGTGAATTTTAAAGTTGTGAGCGGCTTTGGGTCCTTTGTTGAAAGAAATGTGGCATATAAATAAAACTAATAATAATGATAATCCATTGCAGTTCTGGGCAAGCGCATGAATAGCTTAGAGCAGAGGTCGTCAACCTTTTTCCTACTGCGGACTGGCTGAGCTGAGGGAGGTGGGGTAGCCCCTTGAGCTCACACTCTCGGACGCATGCGCAAAGCGTTGGGGTAACATGCGTACACTCCCAAAGGAATGTGGCATATAAATAAAACTAATAATAATGATAATCCATTGCAGTTCTGGGCAAGCGCATGAATAGCTTAGAGCAGAGGTCGTCAACCTTTTTCCTACTGCGGACTGGCTGAGCTGAGGGAGGTGGGGTAGCCCCTTGAGCTCACACTCTCGGACGCATGCGCAAAGCGTTGGGGTAACATGCGTACACTCCCCCACTGCTTCATGCATGCGCAGGAGCATGTGCTGGTGGCGCCAGCAGCAGCAGCCTGGGAGTCTGAGCATGGCCGGGGTGCTCCCTCCGGCCGCTCTCCTCCAGATGGGGTCCAATGAAGCCAGGGGTGGGGCTCCTCACTGCCCTCCGCTGCGGGAAATTCAAATGGTGAGCAGCCGCTGGTGCTGGTTCCAGAGCTGGAGGCACCAGGGGCAGCATCACCCTGCTGAGGGTGGCAAGGAGCACTGACCCAAGCCTTGTTGGAGCCCACCGGGAGGCCAGCAGCCAGAGCACCCAGCCATGCTGACCCTTCCGGCTCTTGGTCAGTTCCATCACCACTGCCAGGCCGCGAAGACAGACCTCCCACCCCCCACATAAACTCTCCTGACCACAGTTGCTCTGCGCATGCGTGCATGTGCCTGAAGGGGTGAGGGAATGCTCACGCCGGCGCTAGCGCATGCGCAAAGCTGTGGGGAGGGGAGTGCTGCAGGGGGGCAGGAGGTCTGTATTCGCAGCCCGGTCAGGCTCAAGCCACGGACCAGCAACAGGCCATGGACCGGGGGTTGACGACCTCTGCCTTAGAGAGAACACTGGTTGGTAGTGGAATACACTGACTCTCAGCTCACCTCTGATAAGTAAGTGGCCAACGCTGAGTTCTGTAAGGTAGCAATTAAAGAGTAATCAAACAGCAGACTACCATTTGTAATTCATAAAATTGTGGCTTTATACTGTTTCACATCTTTCATTATTAATGGAGGCAGAATACCACACAGATCAAAGAGTGTGACTAATTAAACCCACTGTTCAAATCAGTTTCTGGCCAACAATTGCTTTAAATTCATGATTTTGATAGTGAAACACCATCTAATTATATAACTTGTGCATGGGGTGCACAACTGCAATGCACAGCAAAATACAACTGTATAGAGAAAAATGACACTTCACTCTGCAAGTATAGAAACTGGAAATGAGCCATAAATGATGCACTGGTCATATAACATTTTAAATCTTACTTTAAAAAAATAATTTAAGTTCCACTGACCCAAAAAAAAGGCATTCAAATTGGCTACCAGCAATAAAGTGCAGAATAAAATAACCAGACCTTGCAATGTCAAATTCTTTAGCACAGATACTATTGTTCTGATAGCATTTGTATACTGTTAACAGCAGTGGAGTGTAAATTTGTTTGTTTTTTTAATTTTAAAACATTTTATTAGTTTTTCACTCTATCAACATTTAATTTGTGCTTGTCAAACATCGTATTACATGATTTGCTTACAATTGTTTTTTACATCTCAGTGTCTTCCCAGTTGTCCCCCCAAATTCGATATCTTTCAAACATTCAAACCATTCATGTATGTATTTTAGTATATAATATGGCTACTATTATAATATTACTTTCATAGTGTACAATATTCTCAAGATGTTCTAATAACATTCTTAATAAAAGTAG